TTTTTACGCTCTCCGTATCCCCTTCTACTGCTTTTCCAGCAGTAATGCTCCGAGTTCATTGACAATTTTATTTTAAGGAAGGCAGTGGGGCATTTGTTGACGCTCGTTTTGGTTTCATTAGTATCCGTTATCATTCCTTATTCACAGTGGATTCACTGGCGAACTTTATCTTCATATCATACTCCGAAAAGTGAAATTCGCAACCATTCCAGCAGACGCCTGGTAAATTTAAATTTAAATTTAGAAGCTGGAAGTGGTGATGTATTGTTAGGGCACATATGAATCCTTAAATCCAGCTTTATCCTGAAATATATTGGAAATTGAATTTCTTATAGGATTTTCAAAACTTTTTCAGGTGAAAGCATGCTCATTTGGAGGTCTCCCAGTTTTATGTCGACCGAGTCGAACGACATTTGAATGTGAAGGAGCGAGTTCCAATGAGAATACTTCAGTTAGTCGCCGGCGAACTCAAACAGCATCCGAACAGAGACCACCTGTAGCCTGTGTCAGCATTCCAGAGGCTTCCGGCCCAATTCGAAAAATAAGTCCATCTGCTTCCCAGCAAAAACAGGCGAATTCCGCTGCTGGAACGATTCCTGGGGCTCCAACATTTTCTGTGCAGGAAACATTTGTATCCAAGTAAACTTTTTGCCCTTTTTGAATTTATTTTATTTAAAAAATTTTTTATTTTGCTTGCATACTGTTAACCTCATGAATTTTTTTTTTCAGATTTTTCGAGGATTTTATTCCCGAGAAATGGCTTGGTTCTGGCGGATACGGTGTTGTTTTTAACTGTCGCAATCGGCTGGACGATCGAAGTTACGCTGTCAAACGAGTCGCAGTCATTAACAGGTACTATTTAGCCGTAACTGCACGCATTATTACGCATATTCAGCTTATTTCCTACTTGGGAAATATGAACGTGCTATAGTTTGCTGACTACCAGCCAACTTTACACCACGAAAAAAAATCCCGTGATATCTTATGAACCGTGCAGGAAATCCGATGCAGTGTTGTGAGAAATAATCATTTTCTGTGTTTCCAGCGTCTTTCCACTGAAATTGTACTAAAGTGGGTGACGTATGGAAGAATGAAAGTTCAGAAAGTAGCGCAGCCCCATACCGGAGCCGATTAACCGTCCAATTCATGAATTTATGAAAATTAATTTTTATGCATTCTTTGCATCTATGCAATGCAAAACGTGTGTGCGTGCGCGTACGTGGGTGTGCGTGTGTGTACGGAGTTTTCATCTCGAGACCTACAAAAGCTAGAAGGCTGAAACTTTGGCAAATTAATCTACACCTATGTACGAGTCCCATCCTTAAAATGACCGCCCACGTCTGCGTGGTACTCAAGCGCGGCCAAATGAAAAATTTCTTGGTTGGGAAACGATTCCGGGAACGGCGCAAGCTAGAAGTCTGAAACTTTGCGAAATTGTCCCTTGTTCACGTCCAACCTAAAAATTTTAAATTCAAGCTTCACGTACTTTTATGTCTCACGTATGTACAAGTCAAATCTTAATATGGCATAGTGCCAATTCAAAAATTAAGCTAACTGAGAAGTTATAGAGAGCTGTAATTTTGCAGCGTTGCTTTTCCCCGCGGATGTTCTCATGAAAGTAAATTGAGCTTTCTAGTCCTTGTGCATTTCACATACGGAAATAGGCGTATCGAGGGTGGACTGTTGTGGGGGGTGGGGTGGGGGATGATTTTTCAGCCTCCTCCCTTCCCCGGTCAGCTCGCTCTTTACCCCTCGATCGTCGCTCCCTCCCCCTCGTCCCGTCGGTCGCCCCACCCACCCCGACCCCTCCCCTCCCCACTCCTCGAAGGTCGCGCTGCACACCCCCGCTCTTCCTGATGGACACCAAACTAAGAGTGGTAGAACTCCTGGGAGAAGGAAGGGGGAGGAGCGTCAGGTGGTACCGGACAGACTTTTGCATAGTAAAACATCTACTACCTGAGGCAACAATAAAACAACACCTTGCCTCCCTCCCCCCTCCCTTGGATCCACCAGTGCATACGACCACGTGAAACCTGACGTAGGCAGTTTTATAACTTCGGAACTGGGACAGCTAGAGGACTGAAGTTTTCTGAACTTGGCCGGCGGCAACGTTTGACTAGGTGATCATAAAAACAACTGTCACGTTTTTTTCATGTCTCGCGTACGCCTTAAATACGAAAACATGGAATCTGCATGGCCCCGCAACCGAAACAGCTAAAGCACTGAAATTTTCTGAGCATGGCCCACGATCATGTTTGGGTAATACGTGTGGAAAAATTTCCACGTTTCTTTATAAGTACGAGCATGTGGAATTTGACCTAACCCCGCAACTGAAACATCTTGAGTGCTGGATTTTCCTGGGCACGGGTTGGAAGTCACTGTAATAATTTCTAGCAGTCATGGTGGCCAGTCTCAATTCTTTTAGCTAGAAGCATTTGCCATTAGCACAGAGTGCCATTAGCACAAAAACCTGCGGGGGAACTGTGCAAAAAACGTTTCTTTGCACCGGCAGTCGGCACGCTAGCCAATTATTTTGAAAACATGGTAGAACGTTTACTCGTCGACGTCATGAAAAAAGTTTCCATTCCATTTTGACGAGAAAATCATGGCGTGAAGCCTACCATGGGGACGAAACATGGTATTTAGAACATCGAATATCTGTATAGCATTCCCGCGGGTGTTTGGAAAATGTTTCAGTTTGTAGAGGAAATTTTGGAAGTTTTGCGAGCGCACTGAAATATTTGGCGAGTGTTTTTGAAAACTGTTACGGATATCCTAAAGGATTTTGTGCGTTTGTGAAAACTATTTATTAGGTCAAAACCAATTTTACAGATTCATAAGTGCATTTCCCTAAAACGATACAAGAAACCATTATGACGATGTTTAGCTTCAACTGACGTGCATTCCACTGTTTTATTGTTTAGCGTCTGTAGCTGTTGTTTCAAGTTGTGCTGCTATAAATAATAAGTTTGCAGTACGACGGCAATTGAGCGCGTAAAACGTGAGGCTCGTGCAATGGCTCTGCTTGATCATCCCGGCATAATTCGTTATTTCCATACATGGATGGAGAAGCCTCCTGCTGGTTGGCAGCAAGAAAAAGACAGGGAAATATTGAAGATAGTGTATGTTTTCAAAAACGAACCATTCAAGTGCGCTTCTGTTCATGCTTGAGTTTTTTTGGACGAAATAATCTCTCCTTTTTTTTGTTTTAGTCGTGCTAACGGAAACACTATAAATGACTCTGCCATGAAAGTGGACGCCGTCCAACCAACCATACCTTCCTGCAAGGCCAGTGCTTGCTTCACTGCATACTGACGTTGTGTTATAGCTTAGTACATTAAAATTTTTCTTAGTGGATATGACTGTTTTTTGTTTTTTTTTGACAAATAAAGCGCATTTATTAGCAGAATTACCTGATTTTAGGATTTGCCAGCCAATAAAAAATGGTTTAATGAAGTGATGACACCAGACTCATCCGGAAGTGACTATATTGAGGATAACAGTTCTAATGCACTGTCATGGGCCGATGAAGAAGGCCGGGCTGTGGAGTCATCAATCGATGATGACAGTGATTCGGATGGACGTGAGATAACTGCCGTGCATGGTATGCCTCTTTCGAGAAATCGTCTTTTTTTGCCTTTTTCAAAAAGTCGCAACAAAGTTCTTGCATATCCATGTCATCGTATATTTGCTCTTTTCGCTCGCTGAAATCCCAAGTTATAGAGTTTTCTTACAAGCTTTTCGAGGTGCAGCAGTAGTCTCATTTTTCATACCGTAATATCTAGCTGCTGTTAGATTTTGCTGTTATAAATTAAAGCATGTTCAGTGCGTGCTGGTCCTAATCTCGTTCATCACTTCATGCCCTAATTCCTCTCTGCTTAGTAGAGGTACTGTGCAGTATTATTATTTGCCGGTATGTTTGGTCTATTTTCGTTTTTGCATAATGTGTATACGTAGAACATTCAGTCACCGGCAAATCAGGACCATTTTGTGTGTGAAGGGGAAATAGTGGTTTTTCTCGTTTTGTACGGGCTTTTTCATTCAGGCAATGCGATTTACGTAGAATTCTTCTTACTTTATGATCTACTCCACCTCTGTCTCTTCAATCGACAGTTTCCCCATCGACCTATGATTTTGTGCTTTCCGCATCCACACCATTTCGAGTTGATCAACCCGGTAACTTTCCCAATGTTCCTTTCACAATCAGTGGGCACCATCAGCTGTTCGTTTCGTCCATCTTCCATTTCTCATCTTTATCACATAAACTTGGCCCTGTTGCATCCCCTTGTTGCTTTATGCCAAAAAGTAGCTGCATTTGGTTAATTTTTGTAGTTTTCTGACATCTCACATTGGTTTTTTTTCGCTGGCCTTGTTAAACGCATTTCTTCTACCGAATGGTATTGCGCGCTTTGCCTCCATGATTGCTCTTCAATGTTACTGGAAAGTTGACCTTTAGATGGTGTTTTCTGGCTTAAGAAAAAATAATACATAATTTGATGGATGCAGTCCGCCTCCTGCTTTTTTCCTTCGGCTTAACTTTGCTTGCATATCGCTAATCACTCGTACCGCCTGCCTGAGGTAGACATATGCATTTACGGGATTTGACTTTTTGCTAAGCCAATTTCATGTCCCATTCGTTAGCCGCAGTATTCACTCTTTCACGCAATTCTTCGGTAGTGAATTCTGAGCCAAATAGCTGCAATTGCGGTGTTCAGCCCAGCTAGCAGATTTTACACTCTTTGTGTTTTTGCGTTTGAAGACCACAGCATTTGCGAAAAGGGTCATCTACAGTTGATTGTCCATACCGTAATCATCTTCTTCTGCTAAATCCATTCAGTGTTCATGAAAAAATAGGAAGGGTAGAAAGGGCCATGGAGGGCCAACCAAGAAGAAATCATCCCAAATAGGAATGCCTGCGTTGTGGTAGACGAGGGTTGTTCGTGAAAACTTTAGTACCATGAGTGACAGTGTAAAATATGTAGGTCAAAAACTTCTTATGAAGTTGTAAAAATCTGAAGCTGTTAAACTAACGTAAAGGAAAATAGACAGTACAGGAGAAACCTTATTGAGAATCATATCCTTTGCTTCACATGTCTTTAACTATTTTTTCGAAAAATCCTCATGCGAATCTGTTTAAGATTCCTTAGCTGCGTGCCGTACACTTTTTCAGCATTTCAAAGGAAGTTATAGCGCGGTTTTATGTTCCATTGATAAAAAGCACTTTGGGAATCAACAAAAAGTTAAATAAGGGAATTTTGTATTGCCTAGACTGTTTAGCTAATTATTTCACTGTTGAAAAATGTGATCTCTGATTATCGCATCCCAAGAGGTCTGGGCTTGCTTGAGCTGTCGTCATGCTTCTTTTTTTCCAGTCCAGCTCCCTCTGCTGATCTCATTTTATGTGATTTTTGCAGTGAAAAAGGATGAGTCGGCAAGCGTGGTTTTTGCATACGACGAAGCGGCATACTGTGATGCCGAGCACGCAGATCCGTTTGAGCCGCGTGCTGTTCTGGTTACTAGCGCTGATGAACTGAAACGTTGCAACAACACCAAAGACTGCGTCTATCTCTACATACAAATGGAAGTTCGTCACTGTTTTTTTCAAGCACAGCGTATTTCTGATCATCGGTGCCGGGGTAGAGATTATAAAAAGAGAGGGCACGCAAGAGGATGGTTTTTGTAACCGGTGGAAGGTTTATGCTAATCGGATTATGTGCTTCATTACTGTCACAGTTTGCAGTTGGCGACATTGGCACTGCTTCTTCTTTGAGGGGCATTCGCCCGTTCTAAAAGTTATTCGGTGGGAGTTTTGGCTTTCAGTCAGCACTACCGGTCAGCTAAGGCATCCTGTTTTTAGCTTTGCCAGGACCTCACGCTTCATAGCTGGTTGCAAGCAAACAACAGCATCGAGGACCGGGATATCAATCGAATGCGTCATTGGTTTGCACAGATTGTTTCTGCCATCGAGTATATCCATGGTCAAGGACTCATTCACCGAGACTTAAAGGTTCACTTACCGCATGCTGCTTCGTTTAGGGATCAGTCAATTGATTTGTTCTTATATGAAGAAGATAGTACGAGTCGTGGAGGCCCTACCAGGATCATATGAATGGAAAACAAAGGACGAAGTAATGGGGGGAGGGGAGGGGGAAGGGGGAAGGGGAAGGGAGCGGGGGTCGGGAAATACGAATTAAAAAGATCGGTCCGGCCGGCGGCAGCAGACCAGTGTATGCGAGGATGAAGGCTGGAGATTGTTGAGTATGTAAGCCGTTTGTCATGTAGAAGTGTCATGTGAAGAGAAGTATGTAAAAGAAGGGGCTGCCTGTGTTCCATCCCTAAGCTGTAAACACAGATAGTACGAGGTGCGGTTAGGGGTGGAAACCGCTCAAGCATTGTGCCTGCCGAATGCCCTGTGCAGTTTCTGAAGGACAGAAAGACTCGTGATATTTTTGATCATGTGCGCATAGCTAGCAACACATTGAATGCTTGTCAAGAAGGCCTGGCAAGGGTAATCAGTCAGGGCAGTTTTAACACTATGCTGTATCGACTGAACTCCATGCGCACTATGAATTTTCAGCCACAGAACATATTTTTTTCTGTGGACAACTACTTGAAAATTGGCGATCTCGGACTTGCAACCAGATACGTAGATGCGAACCAGGAAAATGCTGCTACGGAAGCTCGCAGTATCGTTGTAAATAATTCGCACACAAACGATGTCGGCACTCGTTTGTATATGAGCCCGGAACAGGTATTTTCAGCTTCAGCAACCATGCAATGTTTGTATGCAAAAAGTGCCCAGGAGTTTGTTATGTGGCATGCGTGCTGTTTGCAGATCGAAAAAAAGCCATACAGTGAGAAGATCGATATTTTTTCGCTGGGACTTGTCTTCACTGAACTTCTCATACCTTTCACGACCCTCATGGAACGCGTCGATGTGTTGAATGGTGTGCAGGACGGCGTGTCACCGGGTCTTCTGGAGAGTCGACCCGTTGAGGTTGGTTCCTTTTAAGCTGTTTGTAGTGCTGTTACTTTTTACGCGCAATTGTTTGCGAACAGCTGATACATATTCACCCTTGTTGTTGAACAACTGATACCATTTGCTTTTCCTCTTTTCTACTTTTTAAGGCAACTCAGCGAATGTTACCATTTACCTGGAGGTCTTGGGAGAAAAATGAGTAAAAGTACATGAATGGCCAAATGAATTAAGGTTTCGGCACGATTAAGTTCCTTTTGTATTCCGAATCTCTCCTTGTATTTCATAGGTGGCGGTTGTTGGTCTTAGTCCGGCTAGCAAGCCACTGATAAGGTTGTCGGTAGGTCGTTTTTTTAAGGAATTGAATGAAATGCATACAGTGGAAGGTTCGAGTGCCTATTCTGCTAGGCAGGTGAATAACATTGCCACTAAGAGGACTCGGGTAATGAACTGTTTCAGACGTGTCTAGGTTTCTCCGGCAGCATTTCGAAGCAACAGTTGATATATAAGATGGCATCAGTATTCCCTGCGCAAATTCATTTTATGAAATTTCTATGGCCCTCCCGTCTTAGCCAGCCTTCTGTTCGTTGCTGTAGTTGTCACTGGTGATGAACTCAGATTTACGAATTGTTCCACCGCTTTTTTCCCCTCTCTGCAAAATAATTTCCCCTTCAGGACTATCTATTTCAAAATAATTCCCGGTTTTTTTTTTTTTTTTTTTTTTTCGCAGCTTTGAGTGGATTTTATGAACCTGGAAACCAGTTCATGCACTATCAGAGCTTCTGTAGCTCATATTTACATAACTTGCAGCAGATTGCTGGATGTAGCAAACCCGTGGAATTCAGGCTCCTTAAATGTCTCTTTCCCTTTACAGGCCATCTGTGGATCAGCTATCCCATTTTATTGAGCCACCTCTGTGATTGTCACTAATTCCTAGCTATTTTCTAGAAGGAATTTGTGGATTGGCTTACCGATGTTGATCCGGAACGACGCCCATCAGCACATGAAATCGCCGACAGTGACTATTTGCGCAGTGAGATGCAAATGCTGGGATACTCGTATTTTCGTGAGCGTCGATCTCCGCAGTGTAGCCACTAGGCACGTGCCATTCTGATTCCACGGTGTACTTGTTTTGTTACCTCCGATCGGAAAGGCCTAGTTACGTGCCAGGCCTCAAAAATGAGGAAAACTTTCGGGACCTCACGTTTTTGATATCACATTTTTCTGTTAAAATGGGGTGCAGAAGGGGAATAAGCAAAACAATCAATCAGGTTCGTCCTCTCCAAGAAATGTGGACACGGCGCTGTACATACCTTTGGCCGTCTGTGTAGATATTTTGTTTTTACTACGTGCTTTCCAACTGTTCTATGTGAAAGTGGTCCCCACATTCGCAGTTGTGTGAATTTTATCTGTTTAGGCGCTGTTCTGTGCTTTTTTTTGAGCTTCTTTCTGTTTTTTATTTTTATTGAACAAGTGCTTTTATGAGGTTGTGTCACATAGGAATGCGTACGGGCAGCTTGACCAACGTGCTTTTGTTGTTATCAGTAATACCTTGTAAATTTTTGCTGCTGTACATCTTGTAAAAAATGTCTGTAAATGAGCGTAAGGAGTGGAATATCTCCGAATGATGATCTTTAACTTGTTAAGTGTACACTTTTATGGTTGTTGTTATTCAGTGTCGTGAGGAACAACTCCATCACTACATCGACTTTGGTACCCATGGTTCCACAGTTTGGCAGCTAACTTGGCTCGGCTCGGCTTGCCCGCGCAATATACGTCCATTTTTGGGGTCGGATCCGAGTTGCGGAAATCGTGGTATCAGTTTTTTTCTTAGGTGGGATTCTAAGTGAGATTGCTAACCTTTCCTCAGCACCACGTTTTTTAGGCCGAGCATGAGAAATCCATAAGGTCACCATCCCCATAAACCTCACCTTTTTTTGCTGATTTCTACCTCCAGAAGAGTCTTGGCTCCTTTGCATCCAATAACTCCGTCCCCTCCGTCTCGGCCCCTGAGACCTAAATCACCGTCCTCAGCCCTCGCCCCCTCTTCTCTCCTTCCCGCCTCCAGCCCTCCATCCCCCCTTCCTCCCAGCTGTTACAAATCGCTTCCCGGTTCGGCCAAGCCGAGCCGAGTTCTAGTAACTGCGCATAGTCTCCAGTCCCAGTTAATTAGTTCGTTCTTTCTATGTGAATCAGTTTCATTCATCGTTTTCTGTGTATAGTGCGTTTTAGCGTTGGCGCTATCAGCGTCTTTCTTCTGTTTGGATCTTTCGCAACGTGCCTCTGCGCTTTGTTCTGGTTGTACAGTATGATCATGCAATGAAATTATTAAGCCAAATAGCATGCATGCCCTCCCTCCGTGACCTATGTCCGCAGCAGACCGCCAGACCAAGGTCTCAACTTATGGCGCAAAGTGAGATAAATGGATCTGAACTATCCAAACTCTCCAGTGTCCGGTGCGGACCCATAATTTCGAGCTCGGTTTGGGCTGTTGCTACTTGCTGTCAAGCGAGACGCATTGCAAACTCAGAATACTGAATGGCCCAGTTGCTCAACAAGCACAGAGTGAACTACCTGGAACTGGGGCACGGAAGAACCTTGGGTCGTGAACTCAGCTCAGTATGATCGCCAAACGCGAGCACACCACAGATTCCGAATTCTTAGCTCTCACAGGCAGTAAGTGATGAGCCCCAAATCCCGGGTCCCATCCTGTGTTCAAAGGGGGCCATTTAGAAGCGCCGAGTTTTTACCGCACCCCGTCTCGAACCAGCTCCTTCGCCTTACATCGACACGCAGCGTAAGTTTATTAAAACGAACTGCTGCGCAGGTACATACGTGTACGAGCCCACGCATATCCATAAACAAATACGCAAGCACATACGTGCATACAAACGCAAATGCACGGACACACACATACACGCACGGACACACATACACACACGGGCACACATACACACACGGACAAACAACTACACACACGGATGGCACAAATACACAGACGAACGGACACACATACACAGACGGACGGGCACACATACACAGACGGACGACACACACACGGACGATCAAACACACATATACACACAGACCGATGATGCAGTTAGTTGGTGAAGGGGAATCGATAAGCACAAACATCCCAAGTGAAATAAAAGTTCTGAACAGCGTTACGTTAAGCTGATGCTGAACACACACACAGACTCTTGCACGCAGATTTATTACAGACCAAAACCGCAACACACACTACAGACTGCAGCACGCATCTGAACTCTGACGTGCAAGTGCAACCACACTATTAAAAACAACGGCATAAGGCACACACACACACACATATAACATATACATGCTCATACACACATACACAGACATACACACACGCTCATATACACATACGTACATACAACACATACACACAGACACACACACGCTCATACACACACAACATACACTCACATAGACACACGAACTGATCTGTACTGGCATACACGCCAAAAAACCATTACATGCTGACATGCACGTACATACAAACAATTACGCGTTATCTTCCACGCATATACACGCTAATAAGTGCTACATACACGAACATACAAGCTATGAGGTGCTGAAATACATCCACAAATAAATTGTTGCATGCCAACATACATGCTCATGCAAAGTATTGGTACTTACACACACATACACACACATACACGCACACACACACACGTATAAACTATTGCCTGTTGATATACACACAGTATAAATTATTAGATACTGACATATACTTACATAAAAACTAATCAAATTGTTGACACGCACTCACATATTAGGTGCTGTCACACACACACACACACACACACACACACACACACACACACACACACACA